ATCTCCTCACCGTTCTGGATTTTGTCTGCACTGTCTTTGAATTCCATGTCAGACTTCACACCATCAGATTCCACTGATAATATGATGAGGCTATCAAATGAAGTCAGCAAAGATATGGTGAAAGTGAATGAACAGGTAAATTGGTCTTAACGGTCTAATCTTGGTTGTTTTATTACATCTAAAATATGTCACGTGGCCTAATTTTTAAAAATGATTTCTTTTTACGGATACAGGTGGGTGGTGAAACAGAAAATGAGGAAAAAAAGGCTGATGGGTCCCTTCTTCAAACACGAATAGTGACACAAAATCCTTTGACTCACAATATGTCCATGTGGCCTAATAATGAAGGTAGATAACATGTACATGTGTATTGTTTGGGACAAAGACACCATTGCTGTAGTTTTGCTTCTGTACATCACCACAATTGATTGTAGATCAAACAACCAGCATGTGCTTGAAGTACACAGGCCAATAGCTAAACTGGACTCAAACGTTTTTACAGTGTTTTATTATGAAGTCAACAGGTGAATTTGTGGCAAAGTGTTACTAATGATGCGGCCGTGGGTCAGTGGGGGTGAAGGGGGAATTGGCAGGTTGCGACGGGGATGGAGCGGGTGCATCTGGGAAGAAAGGAGAACAAGGTTAAGAAGGCGCCAGATGCAGGGTATTTAGCGGAGGTGGTAATGACTGACAATGCTTACTGATAGTCAGGGTGAGCTTGGCTTTGAGGGAGAGGCAAAGAGAATCCAGGCGAGTACTGACAAAGGCTGGCTGACCTGAGTGCCGAGGTGGTGAGTGGTGGCTGGAGGGCAGGCAGGTGAGGTTCTTTGTATTTTTCCAGAATGCGAAGATAATCCAAGGAGAGCTGAGGTTGAAGGCAATGGCAAAGAAGGTCCAGGAAAACTGTAGCACAGGAAATCAAAGTAGGCGACAAAACAAGTGGCAAGAGCATGGGGCAAAACCTTAGCACCAATACCAACGTGAGGTCATTGACAAACTGGCAGCAAAGGAGAGTCTGAGTGGAGCTTAAATCCTCAGCCTGATTACCCAGAATCAGCCTCAGGTGTGCAGGACTGCAGGAGAGATGATGGCTCCGCCCAGGGGTGGAGACCAAGGGACTCAGGTGCCTGGTGGAACTTTCCAGTCAAACCTCCAGATCCTGACACAGACTTTCTTTTTTGCTTCAGTCCCCTATTTCCCCCAGGTTCAAATTTAATGGGATAATTGATTGACAATTCAATTCAAGTCAATTCAATTCAATGTGTTTAATTTTTGTTTTTATAGCTTTATACTGTAATTTCAATTATTTATAATATCAGGCCAAAAGAGATGTTAGTGCAAGTGAGTGAAAAAAATGAAGAAAAAAAAACTATCAGAGAGACAGCCAAAACTTTAGAAATGGCCAGAAAAGTGAACAACTTTGAGGTTACTGAAGTTCTGATGTTGCATAATACAGCCATAATACACTCGAAATAAAGGTAAAAGGTAACATAGTTTGCCACAAGACGTCACTACTTTCATAGAATTTGCTGTCACTCACGACTTCAGTAACATGAAAAGGTAGATAATCCTGTCTTGTGAATAGACTTTTAAATTTGCAACTGAAAGCATAAAGCTAATGGTGATCAAGCTTCCTGGAGGTATATTTTAGTTAAATCATATATAATGTAGATGGACTCAAAATCACTGCCACGTCACTGATGTAAATTTAGAAAAAAGATTAGATTTGGATCATTCTTTATGCAGGAAATTTGGTTGTTATTTGTTATTAGTGCATAACAATCAATGGAGAGGCAAGGCATGTCTTACTTTGAGCCTGATTTGAACTACATATGCATGGCTTTCCTTTCTTGCTTACTGAACTATTGAAGCCTTACATTTTTGTATTTGTCTTAGATGGAGCTGGAACAGATCGATGTTGGGAGACTGAGAAATATTTGGCCCGGGACTTTAGCAAACATGACATAGCACCACAGAAACACTGTGATGAGGAGATGCATAAAAACGAGGAAAGGCAAAAAAGAGAAATTAACTTCCAGGAGGAGCTGAGGAAGATAATGGAGGCAGAGAAAGTAAGTTACTTCTGACTTTTTTTTCTCTCCTCGACATAGTACTTTTGGATCCAGGTGGTAGAGCAGCTATCCCATAATTGCTACGAATAAACAATAAGCTGGTCTTAAGGGTAATTACATAACCCAGCCTTACTTGGATATGGAGGAAGTGGAAAAGAGGCCTCTGATAGTGTCACGGTCTGGCTGGCAGACCGTGGGGATGTGGGGAAGGAGGACCCAGGCGCGGAGCTCAAAGTTCAAGCAGTGCGTTTATTTACAGAGGGTGAGATCAAACAACAATAAATCCCCGTGTTTTTCCCCAGACTCCCGTGTCGTGTCCTCCAAGTGCTCTCTGCTCCCGTGTC